CTGAAGGGACACGGCTTATAAAAGAAGAAAGAATGACGTTAAAATAACATTCCACTGAATGTTGCCTTCATTTGCAGCTGGATTCTTAGACAACGCTATGACGATATAATTACATAGATCATCTGATACGTTGCCACGGTCTATTGTGTTATTGGTTATTTTCGTCATCTTATCAATCCCGAAATCGTCTAATGTTTAAAGCATCTCTGTGAAAATCCCATCTAATGTTACTGATTTGTTTATCAAAATTTTGGTCATATAGTTTTTAACACTTGGAAATCTAACCATCTTTTTATGTATTGTACGCTTCTTTCTTTCGTCGTGGAAATGTTTTTCGATCTATTCATTCCATCTTTGAAGTCGCTTTCTCTATTATGGCCGAATCCTAATTGGATCGAAAGCATCATGTCTAGGAGCACATCATTGATTCTGTTACTTTCATTATTTATTTATGCATGTCAGTCATACCAATGTTGTTCTGTCTTTCTATCTCTACTCACTTTACTTTGAGCAATTCATCTTTTGCTTACCTACCTTCGTTTCTAATGTTTATGGTTAATCTTTATATTCTATGGATGCTTACAGAGAGTTATACTTATTTGAACTTAGTGAACTGGCGACCCAGAATCACAAACAAAGAATTGTACAAAAAAAAAAAAGAAAACACATCAGTTGAGAACTTTCAAATACAGCGATGACAATAACGCATAGCACATGTAACCAGAAGACAAAAGAATGGCATAAACAAAATATTGGTGTCCCACAATAATGCAAGCGAAAATGTGGGCACCTCGGGGTGGTGTAATGGTTAGCAAGCTTGTCTCGCTAGAACAATTACGACTGAGTAGTGAGTTCGATCCTTACTGGGTGTCCCATACTTTCGGCCTTGTGCCACATATGAGCTACGCTTGGAAAATCACTTTGGGCACCTCGATGTGGTGTAATGGTTAGCAAGCTTGTCTCGCTAGATCAATTACGACTGAGTAGTGAGTTCAATCCTCACTGGGTGCTCCATACTTTCGGCCTTGTGCCACATCTAAGTCGGGCTTAGAAAATCACTATATTTGGGCACCTCCAGGTGGTGTAATGGTTAGCAAGTTTGTCTCGCTAGAACAATTACGACTGAGTAGTGAGTTCGATCCTCACTGGGTGCCCCATACTTTCGGCCTTGTGCCACATCTGGAAAATAACTAGGGCACCTCGGCGTGGTATAATGTTTAGCAAGCTTGTCTCGCTAGATCAGTTACTACTGAAAAGTGAGTTCGATCCTCACTAGGTGCCCCATACTTTCGGCCTTGTGCCACATCTAAGCTACGCTTAGAAAATAACTACTGCAAGCAAAATGTTAGAAAAGAAGCCAACATTACTATCAGAAAGTGCATTAACAGATACTGGAAACCTATTTTCCTGAATTTTTTTCTTCTTAGAAATATTTAAAAATTTCATCCGAGAGTATTACTAGCAATGACAATGATTATATTAGCCTTTGCCGTATAAGGAAATATTCTGAATTCATTGACCGAGTAGACAGCGTTGTGTCGGTTGGAATTTATAAAATCCTTCTCTTGAAATAATTTTTTCCGGAAAATATGTTTCTTAAGTCCAGTAGGCGTTATATCTCTTTCAAGTTTTGATAGTTTTCCTTCCTTGCATTGTGTTTGAGGTAGTGTTGATGGTTAACATCCTGGTTATATAAATAAACTACTTTTGAGTTATATGTGCTACCAATTCCAGTCGTTGCTGCTGTTAAAAGCACACAAGGGATCTGCTTTCTATTAATTTCGCATAGTTAATTGTTTGTGATTTGGTAGTGCCAGTCTGTGACTTGGAGAAGGATGATCTTCACTAAGACCTACACACTTCATTCACATTTTATCCTTCGCTCTGAGAAAGCGGTTGTACAGAATCGACCAATTATTTATTTCTGAACGTGTTTGTCGTCTTTCATGACATCCACGTGAAAGTCTCAATCTGACTAGATTGTTAAAGAATATTGGCTCGAATTTTAGGTTAATGCCATGTTGTACTAGCACCATGATATCTTAGGTTAAACTAGGCCTGGCACGCCCTTTTCTATGGTACATTTTCTTACATTCTATACTATATTTGTCATAACTTTCTATTCTGTCAAGGAATGTGATCTCTAAGTAATGGACATTTGTTATTTATTAATCCGACATATTTTATCACTTTAAAAATTATTTTTATGGATTATCATATTTGAGTAGACGCACTGTTTATTGATTAAACAGTATATTTATTTAATTTCGTCTCATTAAAATTAAAGTCCAGATTAAACCTTTTCTGGCCGAGGAGGGGCGAACTAAACAAAAAAAACTCAATCTGTTTTTCTCCAGTATTCCCCCTGATATCTTAGTGGCGTTATGGCCTTGCTTGGGGTGAATTGATAAAAAAAACCCCAAAAAACAGAGTAAATAGATAGATATAACATGCGGGGTTAGATTTCAGCTAAAAAATAATATTACTGTTGTAAGCAAAATCCCAAAGCTTGCATTAGTCTAAGTGTCACTGATACGGATATTTAGCGTTATCCCATGAATGGGACTTCGCCAACATGAATGATAACAGCGATATAAATCAATTTTCATGCCTTGCTTCCTAGGGAACTTTATATATGGACAGCATTTGTTAAGAACTTTGCATTATCCACTGATATAATTTATTAACCGTCGCGTACGTCCGTTCCACTAAAAGCCTTAAGACTTTATGTATCGATTTTAGGCCATTCTGACTTGCACTTAATACGAAACAGAGTGACCAAATAAGATCCTTATTGTTAATTTAATGTTCAGGCAACCCTCGGGATAGTAACGGCATAATATTTAGGAGATGATTGTGTAGTATGTGGTTTAATGGCAGGGGGCTTACCGATTGTCACGAGTTTAGAATCAACAACAATGTCGGGAAACAGAAGGCAAATCGATCGAGAGCAAGAGTTCAGTGTCCATGATAACATTAGCAGTTTCAATTGATGATCGGTCGATACAGCCATGTAAGGAGAAGCTGTTCTTTTAGTTTAGCATGAAAAGAATAATGCTGCTATATATGGTCCGGAGCTTAGCTAATTTGATGGAGCACCTTGATATGATCCAAAGAAGAATCAGCAATATTATTGGTCCTGATATGGCGGCTCGGCTTCAGTCACTTGCCCACAGCTGTAAGGTTGCCTTTCTGTGCCATTTTTATAAATACTTTCATGGTAATTGTTCAGATAAGCTCTTCGTTAAGCGTAATACTAGACTGGCAGTGAGATCTCATCAATTTACAGTTGAGCTTGGTAGAAGTAGCCTATTACGAATTTAAGCGCAGGAGTAGATTTGCAGATAAGTTGTCCACATATTTCCCCTCGAATTGCTAGAGTTAACCATAAGCTCTATGCTAACAGGTTTCTTTTTTATATCGCACTTCTCGCTTGTGGAACTCCCTCCCGGCTCTACGCTTTCCAATCAACTTTAATCTGTAAAAAATTAAATGCAATATGAATCGCTGTCTACTGTCATCCTGACTGCTTATTTCTTTTTCTCCTCATTGCTAATAATTCTGTTCCAAATTATTCCTCACCCTGTAACTCTTTGCGTGATAGTGTCTGCGCTGCCTTGCTTGGGCTGATATCGATATATATATATAAAAATATGTTGCTTGCTGCATGATATACCTATATGGTTTTCTAGAGAAATTTTATTCATTTTTTTCCCCGACAGAAATAATCTTGCTTCTTTATATGTCTAGTATTTATCCATGCGGTGAATATTGCTGCCACATCTGGTCTTCTGTTTCTTCTGATTTTTATATCTAGAAATTCTTGACAAAAATCTAATGACGAACATGCGATTTTATCAAACCTGAACTGAAATCTAGGCTTCAGTCATTTTCTTGCTGCCACAACGTAGCTTCAGCGTGACTTTCTATAAATATTTTCATGGTAATTATTCTGGTGAACTTTCCTTTCTGGTTCCTAGACATTACAAATTTAAGGGCAATACTAGATTGGCAGATAGGTTTCAACATTTTTCACCTCGAATTGCTAAAGTTGGCCATAAGTTCTATGATAACAGTTTTCTTTTTCTCACAATTCTCGCTCGGGAAAATATCTTCCGACGTTTTGCCTTTCAGGCAAATTGTTTTTCAAAATTTAACTGAAATGCCATCTATACTCTTGAATCATTTTCTTTTAAAATCCTCTGCCATCTTTCTCATATTCTTTCACTCTCTTGCGTTTTAGTTGCTTTATCGCCTTGTTTGGAGTGAAATGAATGTCATTCAAACTTCACAGATGAACAATTTTTTCGATATCTCATTAAAACAATAATTGACTACCCGTCAAGTAATTAGTATATATTGTAATAGAATTACTGATTTTCTGTTCGTCACAAACTGTGTGATTTTACATCCGTGTATATAATGTATATGCATTAGTTGTGTGTGTGTTAATCACATATAATTGTATCATCTAAAGCACACAAACACACACATACGCACAATTAGACTGAGATCGAAATATAGATATTGGATTAATACATCTTCCTCCCAATCAGTCTGGAGTAGCCCAATCACTGGTTGTTTCTTCCAAACAAATTTAGTCACAAGTACAGGTTTGGGAAAACTATCTGTTATCATCTGAGTGGACTCCGTTACCTAGCCTTAAAGTATTTCACACCGTTCATACAAGCAAGATTATTTATTTAATCGTTTCAACCCAAACACGGCAATAGTATCAAGTATGGTACAAGAATCGACTGAGAGCGAAAAAAAAATCTGATGTTATAAAAAAAAACAACTGGATCAGGGACTTTGGATATAAATTTTTGAAAATCGTAGTTGACAGGAAAGGAGGATGTTGGAAGATGATCCCGGAAACGACAAGTGCGGGAGAAGAAAATATTAGCATAGAACTTACGGTTATACCTAACAATTGTAACATTGAAACCATGAGAACTAACTACTATTTTGTTTTAATTCCTAAGGACTTACGGTCGTATGCCACTGAAACATCTGTTCTCGTATGATCACTGAAGTTAAGCATCATCGGGCCGAGTCAGTACCGAGATATGTTACCGACTGGGAATACCAGGTGATGTGCGGGTGGGGTATTGAATTATGGTTCGAAATTGGAAATCATAGGGCCGAGTTCCAATTCCCTTCGGGTTTGTTATATTCACTTAAGCGCAAATACCCAGGAAATGTATGGATCCACCCCGGTCATGGGTTAATTAGTATGACTTGTATCAGTAAAATTTATATTATCTTAAAGAATCTTAATATCTAAACATAATTACTTTCTCTAACTTATCTTCAAAAGTTGGATAAGCCGTAAAGTGCAAATGAATTTATCAGTTAAATTCCTGAAATCGATGTCCTAAACAGGAAAGATTTTCAGAGCAATTACTGAGGGAAATATTTAAAGAATAGACACAACGAAGCTACTTTATAGCAATCCGAAAATGACTGAATCCGAGATGCCAGGTCCGGAGCGATAACGTTGCATAATTCTATTTAGATTTTGTCAAGGATATTTATGTAGGAGAAACACCAAATTGCATTCACTGACTTAATGGATGTTTGCAATTCTTCATGTTGATGAAGTGTGTTCTGATGCATTTAATCTGGACTGCAATAAGTAGACGCGCTTCTCTCTTCAGGTGTTCTTCCTGAACCGATTCTTGTATTAATGAAGGCACACGTTCAGAAGAAATGTGTAGTAGGCATATCTGAGAACGGAATAAAAGGGAAATACCAGAACTCTCTCTCTCTCTTTCACCGTAACTTCTTCGAGGATAACAAGATGGTGATATATAGGATCTAAACTCGTCTTCAATTTCCGACCTTGTCAATTTCATTTTCTTTTCCTGTGTGCAGGATTACAGTTTTATTTAAGGGTACGGTAGCGACGTTTAACTTCTAGAATTTTCTCAGCCCGCGAGCAGTTCCTCACAAAAAAATATCGCCGTCATTCACGGTCAAAATGCTGTTTCCTGGTAGAGTTGCATAGATGATTTGTTATGGTCAGCATTTTTTTTTATTTTACTGATGTCTGCATCTGATCTACTAATCGATTTGAAGAAGTTTGACTTCGTCTGATTCCAGATATGACTATATTCCATAATCTTATTGAAGTCTGGAGAAAAGGAATCATATTAACGAAACCAGCGGTGATCAATCCCACTAAAGTATCAACATTCTGCGATGTAAGTTCACTATATATATATATATATATATATATATATATATATATAGGTGGTGTGTGTGTGCGTGTGTATGAGTGCATGTGTGATTGATGCATTTGTTTTTACGGCTTATCAACGTTGCGCATGTTACTTAGAAGTCAGACAATATTTTAAGATTCTAAGAAGTTATGGGATATAATGACTATGTACTGTTACAATAAATATCCCAGAGGATAGCAGGAGAAGAAGTGAATTGATAATAAACCCAAATGGAACTGGGAGTAGGCTCTCTTCTCTCAAATTTTGAGTCGTTACCCACCGAACGACCCGCAAACCCAAGGATACACATCCTAGCGCTCACACATCTAGTTACTAACCGAACTTGATGTTGCTTAACTTCGGTAATCGTACTTGAACCGGTGTTTTTCGACATCATATAACCATAAGCCACTGTGTGTGTCTGTGTGTACACACATACACACGGATGTGTGTGTGTGTGTGTGTGTGTGTATGTATTGTGAGAAAGACGGATGTGCATACATTCAAACGTGATATATATATATATATATATATATATATATATATATATATATTAAATGTTTATATACGGACAAAAAAAATCTTGCACAATACAAAGAGGCTTTCTTGTTTCGATGCGGCTGCATCTCCACTGGTAAGAAACAAAAATGCATTTTTGTATTGAGTAAATAGGTTTTTTTCCGTATGTAAAAATCAAAATGAATAATTATTGCTCTATTCATGGTATCGAGCCCTCTGATAAACGTTAGAATTTATATTATATTCGTTCTGATTACATCCTCATATATATATATATATATATATATATATATATGCGTGTGTGTGTATATATGCGTGCGTGTATGTGTGTGTGTAATGTGAGAAAGACTGATGTGCGCACCTATACACAGATTATATTTGTGTGTATGTTTTTGGGCACGTTTACGCCTGCGTCATCACGCTAACACTGCGATTTGTTTTGACAGTTGTTGAGTCAAATCGAGTTGTTGATGCGTGTCGAAAATCTACCGAGTCTTTTGTCGTTAGTCCTCGGAACTTCTTCCGCGAGATCTGGGAAACTTCTCGGCTATGGACACGGAAATAAATCTACGAACAAAACCAAAGTGAAGCTGATTTGCAACACTTTCTCATAAAAATAAATAAATGCAAAAGTCAAAATGGCGAACATCAACTGTAGAAAGCAACATGATAATTTCGTTTTCTTCTCTTTCCTTTTTTGCCATCTGGAAAAGAAAAAGTCTCATTTCGAATGGACGTTCCGATGCAAGCTGTAAAAAGAATAGATTTTATCGGTAAAAGAAATCATCTTTCTCATGAGAATATGGCAAAGAGCCCCTTTTAGGAGGTGTGAATTCAAGATTGTCCTCAATGTCATCTCCTCACAACTAATCTTAAATACTCACATTAACGGATATATATATATATATATATATATATATATATATATATATATATATATATATATATATATATATAAATTTAAGCGGCTATAGTTGTTTCTACGAGAGAAAAGTGTATATTTTAAAAAGAAGATAAACCACAAATGTTTTGGGGTTTTTCAACGCTTGAAGCTTATCTAATATATATATATATATATATATATATATATATATTTGTATATTTAGGCAGCAATCCTTCTTTTATGCATGTTTCATTAAAAACGACAGACAAGGTACTACGGTTGAGCTTTTTATTTAATTTTTCTTGTGTTCTGACAAGAGGTTTCTTTTCTGGACAAAGAGTGTGTAAGAACTGTCCGAATGTTCTGTATTTCCGAGCGCTTTCGGCTATATCTTTAGCTATTATCAAGGATGCATATTAATTACAAACAAGATGAATCTTCTCTAAGACATATTATAAAGAAATATACTACTCCTATTGATCCTAATAAAAAAATCAAACTTATTATCTATTATAAAAAATTTAAGACGGCCAACCTTATCCTCAAAAATAACAACACACCAACTAAGTCAAAATTACAAAGAACAAACATTATCTATGAGTTCAAATGCCCTTTAAGGAACTGCATTCCTCACCAAACCGGACTCATAAATAATTACATCGGCTACACAACCACATGTTTATCCAGACGTCTTACATTACACCTATCTGATCACAGTTCCATCAGAACACATTTAAACACACACTCAGATTTACCCGACACTATTAGGAACATACTAGTAGAAAACACAAATATATTAACTGCATCCACTTGCAAAAAAAGACTAAAAAATAATGGAAGCTCTAATAATAAAAAAGAAAAGCCAACTCTTAACAATATTAACTATGAACAAAGCCACAATGTGCAACCGTATTCGAAAACTAAAAACATCACTACCACACACTGAACATAGACACAACACACAATACACTCTACTAAGCTGATATTGAATCATCCTTGATAATGGCTAAAGATATAGCCGAAAGCGCTCGGAAATACAGAACATTCAGGGCAGTTCTTACACACTTTTGTCCAGAAAAGAAAGCTCTTGTCAGAACACAAGAAAAATTAAATAAAAAGCTCAACCGTAGTACCTTGTCTGTCGTTTTAATGAAACATGCATATATATATATATATATATATATATATATATATATATATATATATATATATATATATATGGTGGGGGTGTGTGTGTGTGTGTGTACACACACAGACACACGCACATATATAGAGAGAGATAAAAATATAAGTATATATATATATATATATATATATATATATATATATATATATATATATATATAAACTGAGATATATAGATATAGATAGTGATATGATAAAAAATACGTATACGAACATGTATTTGCACCTGCATATATGTTTTTTCTTAGGTGTTACAAAAGACAGTGCTCAATGCCATATAATTAGCAGTTAAATATGCATTATAAATATACACAATATCCAATGTCGATAGCACGACACGTAGCTTCATGCGGACACGCAATCTTCAGGTGTAGAGTTAACTCTTTTTATGCATAACACTGGTGATGTTAACATAATTATACGTTAAAACTATATACCTAATGCCTTTGTGACTAGCCTTATACTTACACCTATACACCATTGTAAATGTTTAGAAATGTTAGACATATCATTTATGTGAAAATTCAGCTGCAGAAACAATGTTGTTGTAGTGAGACCTACATAAATAGTACTTTAAATTTTGGAGATACAATCTCCCAGATGGCATTTAAATTTGTAGACAATGTTGGTTTGTCTGCAGCACGTTTGTAGGTCTGGGAGATTTAGTGTAGTATATTATTAATTTTATTTTTTTTACTAGGATCTGTCCTAGTATTATTAGTATTTATTAATGTTATAGGATACTTTCATCGTTTTTATAGTTAGAATGTATTTGGTTGCGATATAAATGATTAATATATTTTGGGTTAGTTGATGATATATTATATTAGTATATTTTTTTTAATGGGGCATCATATTTGTTCATCAAAATATAATTAAGGAAGTTATTATTAACAATAGTTTCTTTTATATTTTTGGTTTACATTATGAAATTTCTTTTGTGGTCGAATTAACGTTGCACAATTTATTAGCTTTTTACCATTCTTATTTTATAATAATTCGAACATTCATTCTTATAATCAAGGGTGCATACATTTATGCCGGTATATATATATATATATATATATATATATATATATATTTTATACTGGGAGACAGTGAGTTCATTCTTATTATTGTTTATTAATATATCTAGAAAAGTAATTTTATTACCATTATTAAGTCCGTATGTTAATTTAAGGACAGAATAAAAATTATTTTCGAGATTAGACATAATTGCTAAAAGTCGGAACCAGAACTGAACCCATGGAGCCGGAGGCCGTTATATATATATATATATATATATATA